TTCAGGATTCAGCTGGAATCAAGAATTGATTGGAATCAGGGGATATTACATGAGCTGTTGCCACTGGGGCTCTCTGCAATGCTGAGCATGTTTTGAAATGCGCAGTCTCTTCCTCCCTGGTTAACAAGTTACTCGGAGACAAAGACAGGTGACAGCAGTGAGGTTGAAATGCACTGTCCCTATTTGCTTATCTTGACTTAGTAAGCTGCAAAAGTTTCTTGCACTTCTAAACCACTGAGCTGACAGAAGCAGTGACAGGCGGCAGGGAAGAGGGACCTGCCCAAGGACAGGTTCTAACCACTGCAAGCCCTTGTGCTTCATTGCATGTTAAAATTTATTGATCCAGCAGACTGGTTGCAGCACTGCCTCACAAGCCAGTTCCAACGTGTATGGTGTCTTTTCCTGCAGTTATTCTTTGCTCTCTCTAAACAATGATTAAGTAGCTTTGGCCTGACAAACATTAAATAGAAGTGACTTCAGTGTCTTTGCTTTGTAGTTGAACTGCATACAAATTGGGAGACCCACTTTACCCCACTCCTAAATAATACAGTAGTACCAGACACAATGGGTCTGAAAAGTTTGTTTTGGACCGTGTGTCCCCTAGGCATAGAGTAGAGGTGCTGTAGGTACTGGGACATTATCAGACTGACCTGTTCCTGTTTGTCCTCTGGAATTTGTTGATGACGTTCTTTGTAGGCAGCGCCAATGCTATACATTACATGAACCCAGGGCACCTGCTCCTCGTATTGGAAAGTCATCGTGTTCTTGTAACGGTGCTGTTACGGTGGGGAGGTGGCCCTTCACTCTTCAGGAATCGACAACAAGTGGGCAGATTTTGCAGGCAGGTGGCCAGCCAGAAATGGTTTCCAGGCAGATCTAGCATTGCATCGCTGTTCCAGCATTGGTGATCTCCCAATGTCTCATGCTGGTTTTGCTAGCGAACGAGCCCCTTTAGAACATTTGCTGTTAAGGCAGATAGAGTTTGGTTGTTCCTGGATGTTGTCTTATTCTAGAGACACAGAGATCTGCTTTTGTGCCTTTCTGTATGTTTCTTTCCCTCTTTTTCTTTATTCCCAGAGCTGTCTCCAGGATGGGGAAAGATAAAGTCACCCTCATTCAGGTTGCTTCTTTCACACTTTGTTTCGAGTGCCTGACAGACCTGTGTAGTCTCAGTTCTAGCATCCAAGGCTGTGGGCTGACTAATGAAACTGGATAGCTCATGCTCCTGTTACCAACATGAAGATAACAGAGTGCACAAATGGAAGAGTCATTAGATAAAATTTTTCCAACTTTATGGTCAACCTGTATATATATAGCTGCAGAACCATGGTATTAAAGTTTAACTGAGGGGATATTACATACCACCCATATTTACTGTTAAAAACCTCTCCCTGCCTAGGACTCTAATAATGGAGCAACTGAGAGTAGCCTTGTACTTCAAGCTTGACAGATTTGAGCTGCGCAACTTCAATTTTTGTTCCAGTCATGTTGTCGTAACTGGATCATCTAAAGGTCAAGCTGTCTCATCAGGGTGTATCAAAATGGATGTTGTATCTTGCTGGGTTACTAAACCTGCTTGCAAGCATCTCCCATCAAACATGGAAAGTGACTCTAAAATGGCCCAAACAACTTCTATCATCTACTTCAGTTGCATGCTAATATCTGAGGTCACAAGGCACAGTGTGTATAGGGCTTGTGAAGGTGTCAAGCAGCATCCTTTGCGTGACATCATGTTTGGGGCAGATGGCATGTTCAGGAGAGCAGTACTACAGACTGATAAAGCCTAGAGGTCTTTATTCCCTCTTTTTCAAAAGGAACTTGCTCACCATTATCCTCTAGCAGGATCCACACTGACATGCCAAAAAAGGATGGTTGGTGGCTGCCAGAACAAGAAAATTTTCAAAATAATGTAGATCTCATAACCTATCCTGACATTAGCCCTGACTTTTCAGAGCCCTCGAGATTCATCTACAGAGAAACTGTAAAAACTTGTGTTTGCTCTGTTTGCTGTATCTCAACACACTCTTGTGTCATAGATGGGTGGCCTTTGCAGATGTTAAACTCCAGGTTTGTATAAAGGAAGTGAAACCCATGCTGAGCGTGCCTTAAAGCTGCTCTTGCTTTCATTAAAATAATTATTATTTCAGCTCTGGTTGCCCCCAAGCGGAGAGCAATAGAAAATTAGAAAGGTTTTGGACATGGGCAATGAGCAGCTGAAGGCTTTGGGAAAAGATTTTACATTAAGAGGATGGGGAAGATTGATATCTTTTATAAGAAGATAGCTAACAGGTACGGAGTAATGAATGGGTGAGAAGATGGATGGGGACTTCTGTTCCCACCTGCTAATAATATGAAAGTCAGATTAGAAGGTGGTGAATTCACTCCTGATGAGAGGAACTATTTGTTCACAACCACTGTCTATGAAACTCGTTACCGCAAGACAAAGCATTGGGGCAAGTACTTATGAATTTAAAGAGGAGGGGGTAAAATGATACCAGTTGGAATATCCAAAGCAATTGCAAAGATTAGGAGAACCTAGGTGTTTCGAAAACGCTCTAAGTGTATTGATTAGGGTATTATAAGGGTATGTGCTAACTCGTCCAGCTCTTTTTTTTTTTACCCCTCTCCAGGACTTTTTCCATAGTCACCTATATCAGAGGTTGTAGAATGTGTTACTGGTCACTGTCACTCAGAGGCTGCAAGAGAGGGTAGCTGCTGCTGCTGCTGCAGTCGAATGTGATAATGCGTGCTTGCAAACCACCTTTTTCATGTCAGTCTTTCCAGGATTGCTAAATTCACACATAAATTAGGATGCTTTTGCTTTTCTGCTAAGTTACTGCCTTTGATAGTCCTTCACAACTTGTCTTAGATCTGGAATGACGCTTCGCCTTTTGAGTACGTGCTGGGGGAAAGGCGGGTGGTTAAAGTTAGATTCCTTCTGACAGCAGGGATTTAGAAATTGCTGCATTGGCTCAGCCCTGGGATCTGCCTAGTCCAGGGCTCTGGATAGCAACAGCCAAAATCGGGTATTTCAAAGGACAGCATGAGGCCACAGAACAGATTACTAAAACAGAAAGCTGCCCTTTTATATCACTGCTGTTTGTCCATAGAATTGGAAAAGCAAAGGTTGAGAGTTTGTTTGATCCAAGAGCACAAAAGCTGGAAAATCCCGTTGCCTGGCTGATGCTAGTTAACGCTGATGTTTTGTATCCTGCAGGAAATTACTTATGTGCCTGTTTTCTCTTAGGAAAAACAGAGATGTGCTTACCTTAAACGGCAAGTTTATATGGTAACTTTAAGTTGGTGTAAAAATAAGTAATACTTGTGTATAGTCTCACAACCTAAGTGTGTAGAGGACACCCACAGTGGGATTCTCGTTTGGGAAACAACCCCAGGCTGGGCTGGGCTGGGCTGGGAGGAGGCAGCAGCAGTGGTGACTGAGGGGTTTTGACATGTGGAAAGTGGGTGTCTTTTTCTGACACTGCTGCAAGCTATCTGGCTGTCCGCAGGGATTCTGTTCTGGGTTGTTTTTTTTCTTTCCTTTTTTTTTTTTTTAAATAATTTTTTCTGCTGTTGCAAATTAGCATTTGTAAGAATTATATGTGGTTTCTCTCTCTCTTCTGAAGTCCTGAAATTATTGTTAAAACTGCTACTAAAAAAGGGATTCAGTGAATTGTCTGTGGAAAAAAACTATATTCCTTCCCTCATCAAATATTTTAATGTGTTGAGCTCCAAAAGCCAAAGAGGGCAAGAGCAAGGGGAGTTGCCCCTCTGTCAAGTATCCGTGGAGCTGCTGCTGGGGCCTGTGGGAGTGGTGCTGGTGTCCCAGTCCCCCCCCCCACAGACGAGGACAGCTGCTGATTAAAGAGAAGCACGAAAAAAAGAGGTTGCTGAACTTTCAAAGTGGAGGTAGAAAAGGGAGTTAAATTTAGATTACCTTCTGCAGTGTCATCTCCTACACTGCTGTGGAACTTGCTGTACTTCTTCCTTGGGAGAGGACAAACAAGACATGCCATCCTGGGCACCAGACCATAAATTTGTTTATAAGGCTTAATTGCCCCTTGGCATGAAAATGTGAAATGAGCTTGAGTAGAATGAGAAACCTTTCGTTGGGGCTTCCTTGGGGAGAGGTGGATTAAAATGTCTTCCCATCACCTGTCTGATGCTGGAGAGGCCCAATCCTGACCCTACTGAAATCAGGGGTGTTGTTGCTGTTTCTTTAGCGGGATGGCTGTCATCTGGAGGGGCCGAGAGTTGGACAGTGCTGTAAGAGTTGCTCAGAAAAAATGGAGCTGTGGTGGCAGGCAGAAGAAGGCATGGGAGTGCTTTAGATCTGTGAAGGCTTTACCCAGGTCCCCGGGGTCTGGAGGTACTCGGAGAAACCACGGTGGTTGCTCCTAGGGCTCCAGTGCTGTTCAGCAAGCAGTATCAAACATAGCTTTCTCTTCAAAAATAGATTAAATGTCTAGTTTTGCTTAGCAAGATTTAATCATCACTGAGGAGCTGTCGGCTCTTGCCAACGTTTTTAATAGATTCCCCTCCATTTGCAGCATCCAGTTAGCAGGGAGGAGAGTGCTTCTGCTCCTCCACGGCTCCCTGCCAGGGTCCCGCACAGGCAGCGCTGCCCAACAGCACGCAGCACCCGTTTGCAGCGAGCTGCCTGGTGTTACCCAGCAGCTCTCTTAAGGTTCAGGGCTTTTTTTTTTTTTTTTTTTTGTTATTTTTTTCAGAACTGCTCGACCTGATGTCATTTCCCTCTTGCAAACACCCCGGCTGGGCTGCGTCTGAGATATGTCACGGGGAGTGGGAGGAGGAGGAGGGGGAGCCAGCGAGTGCGTGCAGTGTCCCAGGACCCTGTTTACTTAGCATTCCCAGCCGAGGAAACCCTGGTTTAAATAGGATCGGAGGAGCAGGCTGCCCACAGCAGATGAGGAAATGGTCACTGTGGTGCTTTAAATTCCTGCCTTCCCATGCGCTGGTGCGGAGGATGAGCCTGCAGAATGCCTTTCCTCCTGGGTCTCAGACAGGTAACCAGCTTCGGTGCGGTGGGAGCTTCTTGCTCAGGTGGAGGATGTGACTGACTGCTTTTATTTTTATTCCTCCCCTCCCCAAAGGAAGTGATTTCTGATTTTCCCAAAACGGAACCATACAAAGAGTGCTTCCCTACCCGTGGCGTTTGATCGGGGAGCACGGTAGCGTGAGAGCCGCTTTTTATTAGCAAGGAGGGAACAAAACTGCGAGCCAGGGAAAGAAACTCTCTTGTTGTCGTTGTAGGCTTTGCAGCAGGGTGGCTCTTTGTGTTGTGCTCCTGTGCGGTTTTTTTTGGTTGGGTTTTACGGTACTTTCCACAGTCCTTAATATGGAATTGTGTTTACATTGCTTAAAAACATGCCAAACTCTGAACCGTTTCCTTGTGCAGTATTTTGAGTGTCAAATTGTGGTTTTTTAAAAAAAAAAACAACAAACAGCCATTTATATATATATCTTATCTCTGACAAAGGTCACCAAACAGAAAATGGCAATGTGCTGTGACCCCGAGCTTGGTGACTTTTTAATTTTTCCGGGAGAGTTTGAGCTTGAACAAGAAACTTGGGATAATTTAATAGCTGGTAAAGTCGAGTGGAATGAGAAACGGTAGCAACTGCCCAGCTGCTCCCCGCTGGAGGAGGTGCCAACTATGTGTCCCTAGGCTCAGCGAGAGCAAACCCTTTTTTTGGTCTGGGAGGCACGTCCGGAGGGGAATCTAACTGTAAACTCTTTCCAGCACTGCTGGGATCTGCAATCCGCAATAAATAGATATTGCATGATACCAGAGTGCTGCTTGCAGTTTCTAATTTAGAATTAAAAATTCAAGATTGGACCATAGCATGTTTTAAACTACCTACTTTCAGTTGTTTAGAAATGAAGGCAAAAGGACTTACAGCACACTGCTGAGTAAACAGTGCTGTCTCTTTTTCCTTATCAGTTCAG